CCCCTCGGGGAGCTCGCCATGCATGCGCATCGCTGGCTGAGGGAGGCTCTGGGAGAGAGAACTCCTCGTTTGTGTAAAAAAGAGAGTGGCCGCCATTAGAGCCTGGCTAGGCAGATCAAAACCAGGGCTGGCTCTTTCTTCTGCTCTTGCTCGCCATGCAGGAATCACTGAAGAGCGTGCAGCTCATAATTAGCATGCAGGAGAGAGGAGGTAATCTTTACTGATTTAAACAAAACCTTTGCTTTGCTGACATCTTTAAAGATAACTATCACATCTACAGTTGTTTTACAATAATTAGGCAGAAATTCAAGAGAACGGATCTCTGGATACTGTAAAATCCCCCTGCTTCCCTTTGCCCCCGGAGAAGGCCCAGGCTGCCCCTGCTGCCTGCCCCCGCTGCACAGCAACCCGCGTGTAGAAGCGCGGCTGAACCACGGAGAACGACACGCAGCGCGTGGGTGAGAAAGCCCTTCTGTTTTCACACTATGTGCATCGCTTTCTCTTTACTACTTTAGAATCTCCAAGTGGGACTTCCCGACGCAACGCAAGCTGCTACTGAAAGGGTCAAGGGGCAGAAGTTTGACAGCAGGAGACCTCAGCCTACGACACGCAGAGAGGATGGGTTTTACAGAGCTGCCAGACGAGCGTTCAGCTGCTTGCGCTGAGAAATGTGCCGAAACGCCAGCGGGAGAAACCGCTTGGGCACAAATCTCAAGAACTCGCTGTGTACTCAGGGGATGATTCAATGAGATACTTCTGATACTAATCCTGGGACGTGCAAGGGTTGGGGCTGAGTGACAGTGGAAGGTCTGAATACGAATTCAGAGCCAGACAGCCCTGCGAGCTCTCTGCCACCAAAATAGCCTCCATCTCCTGTGACATCTCCTTTTCGGACAGAAAGGACCCGCGGATGCCAGAGGCAACTCAGGACACTTCCAGACATCTCCGTATTTCTGACCGTTATCTCGGGACCAACCCGAGGACATCTCCAGAACACAACTGCACTCACCTTGGTAGACAAAATGAAAACCTTTGGCTGTAGATTGACCCTTGGAACTAAATTTGATGAGAATCTGGTTGGTGGTAGCTAGCGGTAATGATTCACCTGGATGAGGAGAAGGAGACAAAACAGGAGAGAGAGAGAGAGAGAGCGAGCTTACAGCACCAGTGACACAAACGGGTTGCATAGAGCAAGGTGTTAACGGGCAGGCTGTACTTTTAGCTTGCCCTCCCTAGCAGCAACAGGGACACGTTCCCTACCCGTATGAGAGCCCGAGAGGGAGCTGAGGAGCCGGGAGTGCTGGTTGGGGCCATCGTGGACTTCGATGACGTCGTTGAGCGCGGTCTGGAAGAAGGCGAACTGCCCGAAGACCACTGCGAAGAGAGGGAGCGGCGGTCGGGGCGGCAGCGGGACCAGCCGTGGGAGCCCTTTATTTATCCACAAAGTAGGTATAACAGAAGCAGCAACCAGCCTCCCCCGTGCTCGCTTGCCAGTACGCTTTAACACTGATTCATAGGCCAAAAGGGATTCTGCTATGAATCATCCCATTTGCCTGCCTACATAACACAAGGTATATAATTTCACCAACTGATAATTATTATTTATTATTTGTATTAAACCTCTGTCATGAAGCGGGCTCCTGTTGGGTTAGGCATTGTACAAAACCTGAACAAAATAACAATCCCTGTCCCGAACAACTTAATTTCTAGATTGAACCTCTCTGGTCAGGGAGGGTGACTGCTAAGGAGAGAGAACGCGCACGATTTTATGAAGAGTCAGCCCTGAGCCTGTCTACAGAGACTGCTAACGAGGGAGCCGTGCAGTGCTCTGGGGCTGGCTGCGTACACTGTAAGTGCACCTAGGAGCAGGCAGAGCTTACAAAACGGAGAAAAATCCTAGTGAGAGGATCATGGCATTACTTTACCTGGGGCAAAGAGACTTTGGTTATTTACCTTTATGTTTCAGAATGTAACAACAGGTTTTATCCTCCCAAATCTGCACTTGGAAGATTTTTCTCCTCCCCTTTGTCTCCTCTCCTAGCTTTGCATTTTCAAGTTGTAAGTGCCCAGTTGCAGATTCACAAGCTGAGAGGTCTCTTGCTGTGAAATTCATCATCCATCAAGCCATGGCATTTGTTTCCCGCACGTTCAGCTTCCAGCCCAGCTTTGATGCTGGGAACACTGAAAAAGTGCCGACGATAGCACACCCTGATGCCTGCTGCACACAGAATCTGAGCAGCGAAGGAGATGGGAAACGCGTAACATTCGCTACTAATGGTGCTCCTGCTTGTTTTTAATGAAGCTACCGAAAGGCACCAGGTGGAGAAGAGAAACTAATTCAGCTGTCATTCTACCATGGGCAAAAGTCAGATCCACAGATCAAGACTGCCTACCCCTAAAGTTGTTGTGTTTCTTAAGATGGTATCGAGGACCAGCGACAGTAATACAGGTTCAGAGGGGTAAGAGAGCAGTGCAGGATTTCATCAGCGAGATCCAGCAACTCGGCTGCAACCTGCACGCACGCAGGCAGCACGGCAGCTCGAGCGGAAGGAGCTACAGCAACGGCTGAACGCACCATCCTTCTTTCACTCCTCACTATCCTAGCAAAGGAAATCACAAACACCTGAAAAGACCCTAGGGACTGGCTAGATCAATGCAACGCACTGAGAAGCAGCAGCAAGTAATAGAATTTAGAGACCTTCACCGGCTGGAGCTGTCAGCGCAAGTGCTCTTTAAGAACTTTAAATTCCCTTCCAACAAGAAAATATGTTAACCAATACTAATATCCAGCCAGCTACCTCAAAGGTTTCTAGAACGTCAGTCATTGTTGCATTCAAGCTCTGACCAAAACTAAGCAGTACTGGAGTCTATAAAAAGAATGACGCTCTGTTTAAATCGATCTGGCTTTTCTTTGCATCTAGTTTTAAAATCTAATTTACATGTTTTTTGAAAGTAAAAATTAGTCATGACTACCATAGCTGCACATCCACAAAACCATACATCTACGTGCTCCTCTGCACAGACAGATTATTTAGAACCACACTTAGCATGTGTTTATGGTAAATACATCTCGTGCTCTCGGAGGTCCTCCGAGTCTGCTGCTAGCATTAATCACCATGAATTATTTTTCGCTGAATTTTCAACTCTGCATGACTGGATACAGTGCAGGAACTGGAAGGGGAGTTGCAAGATGGTGTTTTTGCTAGTGGTTTTTTTTTTTTGTCCCCTCATTTTTGATAGATTTTTGACATTCAGAAAATTCTCATCACTCTTACTGACTACAACAAAGTATAAATAGCATCCAACAGTGCCACTTACTATTTTCCAGTCTCCCTTATTGCCATATATATATATGCACTTATTCTACTGCTTTGTTCAAACAAAACAACCCAAACAAGAGAGCTGCACAGACAGCAGGACAGATTTTCCGATACCATAGTCCTTCGGCACGACGATGAAGTACAAGCAGACTTGTCCGCTGGTGTAGTTCTGGGGATAATTTGGAGAGAGGACGACGCCGTCCGAGCCCGTGTACTGACCACCGCAGGGTGCTGTAAGAGAAACCCACAGCAGTTCTCCGAGTGCACCCTTCCCGAGCCCACCCTCTCCCTGCTGCTCTGCTCCCCACCCTCGCCCGCGCGCTGCCCG